GTAACAATGGTTTTTAGCCTACATTTATCCATTTAAATACACTAACCTCACTCCTTTGTAACAGCTAAGGCAAAAATGTAATTGATTCAGAAAATCTTTTCAGGACCCCACCTTGATGTTTCGGGACCCCACTTTGGGTCCCGACCCCAACTTTGGGAAACACTGGTCTAAATAATGCTGCTGCATCTGGTAAATCGCTTCAAGGGGTGGTGAAATGAGCTTTGGCACACCTGGGTAACACACACACACACAATGTAGCTAAATGAAGCTAAGTCGTTTTATTTGTGGCTTCTCTTTAATTTCACCTGGGCTGTAATAAGCCATCAAATGGAAATTAATCCTCTTTCCAACCCTCCCTGTCCTTCCATCACAATTCATCTTTAATGTGACGATCTGAAGCAGTGGGCGGATGGGGGTGGGGGTGGGGGACCATGCCCTAGATCAGGGGTGCCCAATCAGTCGCTCGCGGGTGACTGGTCGCCCCCAGCTGGTTCCCCGGTGTTCGTGAAGAGCAACCTTGCTGTGGAGCCTCTAGCGCCGGCTCTGAGCATCAGATCCCAGAGTGGCTGTCTTGTTTTAAAGCTCTGGGTCTGCCCTACAAGGTGAAAGTTGAATGCGACGTTCCCCCGCAGAGCTATAAGCAAAAAACCTCCAAAATACGCATCGTTGGACCTCCCGCTGGGGTGGTTTTAGCCTCCCGTCCCAGGCTAGGAGCYTCGGATCCCGGCGTGGCTGGTTGGGTTTTAAAGCTCTGGTTCGGTCCTACAAGCTGATACTTGAATGGAGTCTCTATGACGTTCCCCCGCGGAGCTATAAGCAAATTACGTATGACTTAGTGCATTTTACACGCATTTTTGGGAGGAAATTTCAACATTCGTTTGCTTCTCCCGCGGGCTCTGAGCATCAGATCCGGGAAAGTGAGATGACTATGGAAAGCTGCGGTTCTCCTCTACAAAGTGGAGGTGGTTGCAAGTTCCTGGAACATTCCCCCGCGGAGCTATTAGCCAACGACTGGCCGAAAAAGGCGCTTTGGCAGGCGATATAGTACTCAATTTACTCCGGAGCCTCTAGCGCTGGCTCTGAGCGTCGGATCTGGGTGCGAAGGAAGAGGAAGAGAGGAAGGAAGAGATC